GGAATCCTACTGAGGTTTATTATGAACCAATTTTTTTTTTGAAGGGATGGGGAAATGAGTATTTGAAAGCTAAATGAATTTTTTCAATTATAGTACATATTTTTGTCCATTTCCTTCATGAACTCTAGTTATGTCTGAAACATAGTTTAGGCAAAACATAGTTTAAGAAGAAATTTGAATGTACAGAATAGTTGAGTGGCAGTGAAAACCCATTTATCCATTTAGATTTAAAAATTAAGATTTTTACCATACTTGCAAGTTTGTGGTACTCTGGCTTAGAGGTAGTTGGCATATTTAGGGAACAGAAAGGACCTCAGCGTGGCTGGACCTCTGTGCGAGCCTCTGTGGGCTGTGCGAGTTGGAGATGGGTAAAGCTATGGTAGGGAATTTGGATTTTACCATAAGGGCAATGAAAAGTTATTGAAGGGCCTTACTCAGTGAACTCTTCCTGTTATTGTTCCCTAGAATTCTCTCAAACACGTATGACAAAGGAAGAAAGTGGGAAATGAGAGTCAGGCAGGTGAAAGGTGTCTTGTAACCATCTTATCCTTTGTTTAACCATTGCTACTTCCAGCTTTGGCATCTCCATACTCTTGGGATTGTCAGTTCCAAAACTCAGACATATACCTGGGTGTTTCACATCCTTCAAGGAGACAGAACCCTGTGAATAGTTCTTCTGCTTGATGGTGGACCAGGCCCCTTTCAAGGCACCGTCTCCACTCCTGGGAGAAAGCAGTGTGGGCTGGAGAGTTCGCTCTCAGTGGTGCCTTTGCTATCATTTGAGCACTGTTGGAAGGTCATGAGTTGTTCTGTGAAGGGATTCACTTCTATTGCTTGTAAGGACTGAAGTAAGGAGACTGAAGCTTCTTGTTCAACCCTTAAACTAAGTTTGTATGTGGTTCCAAATCTTCTTGTGGATTTCAGGTTGTTCTTTATTGTCTCTAAAATTAGTTAGTGATTCATGAAATCTAGGTTAGTCATCCGTATTTTTTTTTAGCTGTGTGTGTGTGTGTGTGTGTGTGTGTGTGTGTGCGCGCGCACACATGCACATGTGTGTAAATAGCTTTCTTACTTATAGATCATGATCAAAGTTTGCTGGTTTTATTGGCTCTGACTTTGGAGATGAGTAAGATTAGTAAATTGGCAGCCTTACTTTTCTGTGTCATTTAGCCTTCCATGGAAATGTTTTATGAATAGTACTTTTTATGTATTAAGGATAGATTGTTTTATATTATTCATTGATTTCTTTACACTTAGTTTTATGTTTATCAGATTATACATGTGAAATTGAAGGATGCAAATAGTTACAAAAAGAGCTTGTAAGAAAAATACCCGTCCCCCACTCTCTTCCTGCTCCCCAGAGGTACTCCCTCTTTTGATCAGTTGTTTTGGGATCTTTCTCCCCATCTTTAATGAACATGCTTATATGACACATCCATTGTGTGTGTGGTGTGTGCGCGCGCACACATGCACATGTGTGTAAATAGCTTTCTTACTTATAGATCATGATCAAAGTTTGCTGGTTTTATTGGCTCTGACTTTGGAGATGAGTAAGATTAGTAAATTGGCAGCCTTACTTTTCTGTGTCATTTAGCCTTCCATGGAAATGTTTTATGAATAGTACTTTTTATGTATTAAGGATAGATTGTTTTATATTATTCATTGATTTCTTTACACTTAGTTTTATGTTTATCAGATTATACATGTGAAATTGAAGGATGCAAATAGTTACAAAAAGAGCTTGTAAGAAAAATACCCGTCCCCCACTCTCTTCCTGCTCCCCAGAGGTACTCCCTCTTTTGATCAGTTGTTTTGGGATCTTTCTCCCCATCTTTAATGAACATGCTTATATGACACATCCATGATTTCACCATATTACTTATAACATTTGCCTCAATAGCTGCTTTTGTTTTCTTTATTAAAGTCAGGAACATGATAAATACTTAGTAGCTCTGTGCATATTAATCTAACATGTTTATTAAAACTTTTATTTCTTAAAGCATTTCTCAGCCTTTTAGCAATGTTCTAGGCACATGTATTGGCTACCTACTTGGTCTTCACTTACCAGCCATTCATGAATTTTAAACTTTTCTATGTTTTCAATTAATTATTTAAAAAGTTGGAACACTGAGTGGCATACATTAGCATAAGCTTAATGCAAAGCAAACTTAGACATAAGAAACAAATTCTAATGCAGAAGTTTTAAGGGGTATTATTTCCTTGTTTTTGACCCCCCAAATCTTAGTTGTGTTGATCAAGAATTGGTGGATTTGAGGACGTAAATGAAAGAAATAAAAGGATTTGTTTAATTATTGCACTCAGGCTTTAAAGTAAGAACTATATGATGTAGTTTTTATGTATACATTTTATAATAAAGTTATTTATATGTTCTTATTTATTCTTTTACTTTTTAATTATACTTAGCTGTATTTTTTAAACAATAAATAAAAAGAATATTTAAAGCGTGTGTATGAGGGGCGGGGAGGGCAGAGAGAAAATACAAGCATGTCATGAACAGCTTCAGCATTGGGATTGGATTGGAACCTGCTGAGGAGTGTCCACTTCTTGTTTTGGGTACTTCTTACTAACTGTATTTCCTCAAAGTATAGTTTTTTGTTTGTTTGTTTGTTTTGCGGTACGCAGGCCTCTCACTGTTGTGGCCTCTACCGTTGCGGAGCACAGGCTCCGGACGCGCAGGCTCAGCGGCCATGGCTCACGGGCCCAGCCGCTCTGCGGCATGTGGGATCCTCCTGGACCGGGGCACGAATCCGTGTCCCCTGCATTGGCAGGCGGACTCTCAACCCCTGCGCCACCAGGGAAGCCCAAAGTATAGTTTTATTAGTTTATATGTTCTGCAGAATCTTGACTGCCTAGTGTGTTAATTAAGAGGAATGATTGTGTCATGCTTCCCCTTTCCCTCAACAAAAGCATTTTATATATGTATTCTCTTCTGCAGCTGTACTCTTTTTGCTATGACCAATATTTGGTGTGTGGTAGGACTTTTTTTTTTTTTTTGGTAGGACTTTTTAAAACCCCCTTTGCCCTGGAAAGTCACTTCTTCCACCATTGAGCCAGAGCTGAAAATATCTCTGTTGCATGGCACCCTAACATTTCCTGCAAAATTCCATTAAACATTCCCACCTTTTACCCAGCATTGACTTGTAGCATCACTGCTATTATTTGTGGAGTACAAATAGGGAAGATTATGTTTTCATAGGACTTATCGTGAGTGTGAATCCACTCTGTTGATAGAGAAGCAGGCTGCATTGCCCCCTACCCTTCTTCAAAAAAATAAAATAATTTAAATAAATAAAAAGAAAAAAGTAATGGAAAAGAATGATCCAGAATTTGGGTCCCATCTTGCTAGGTAATCAGAGAGAAAATATAACAGCCACCTGTAGTTGATCCAAACGTCTTGTAGTAGAAAAAATATTTAGAAGTAAATTTAGAACCTGTGTTTGAGGACATATCCCTTTGGTTAATGAAGATGTGGTTTTAATGTGATCAAAAGAGGATTTATAAGCTGACAGAAGGTGAACTATATAGGTGATATTTGGGTATAGAGATTGGTCAAAACAGATCATATCAAAACATGTCAAGAAATAACATACTTGTTCATGATTTAGTTGTAAGCTCCTTGTTAGCATTCATTTGCATGTTCTTTTCCCCTAAATGTTTATTTGTAAACAGATATGCAGTTCACTGTATCTCATACTTTAGAGAAAAAACATTCCAATACTTTCTTCCAGTGAAGTCTTAGGCATAGGTCAAAGGAAGTGTTATGATGCTCTTCAACAGAGATATTTTATGTTGATGGGGGAAAAAAACCAAAGTAGGGTTGAGGTATCTGAGACCCACCTCTCCCCACTTTGGCAGAGGTGGGCAGTGGGTGCCAGGGATGGTTAAATACAGGAGTTTGGAACTCACAGTTTGAAAATCACTCATCTAAGTGATCTATAAGGTTCTTCAGAAAAGTGTTGTCTTTTGGTATCTTATATGAGATTGTTTAATGCCTGTGAGTGTAACTTATTTTAGTTTATTTAGTGAAAGAAATTGTAACTTCTGACATGTTCCCAAGTTACTTTCATTGCTTATCTTGTTAACTTTGTTTTTTCATGGTGACTTTTTGGAATAGTTGATGTCCTCCTTTTGCATGATGTAATATTGTGGTTTATGTGGTTGAAATGTTGTTTTCTGCTACCTGCAAAATTTTAAGAACTTCCAGAAGTTCATTGTCCCCAGAATTTGTCCAGTGAGTTCCGTCATGGGATATAGTCATATCCAGGCAGAAAAAGTACACATTGAAACCGTCACTTAAAGAATTTGAGGATCTGATGGGAGATTTGTCCAAGGCTCTGTCCCAGGTTCTCTCCAGCCCTGAGACCATAGGATTGACCGAAGAGGAGGAAGGGTGTACCCGCAGGATGCTTAGGAGGAAGCAGCAGCAGTATGAACACTGGAAAAGGCGCATCTGGAGAGACCTAGAGAGTGGGTCTGTTGCTAGTGCTTTTTGGCTAAGCTCCTTACCTAACTTTTTACCTCAGTTTCCTCAACTGTGGAATAGAGATAACTATTAATTGGAGGTATAGTGTGGTGATTAAGGTCGCTTTGGATCAAGACAGACCTGAGCTGGTTTTACCCCTTAGTAGCTTGAGGCAGTTTCTTAACGTCATTCAACTCATTCAGTGTTACCTGTAAATGGGAGTAGAATAACGTCCTTGGGGAATTGTTTGAAAAAATCCCATAGATGATGGATTCAGTTGCTTAATAGGGGGCCTGGCAGTGCTAGTTACCCTCCATCATCAGCACCATCATGTTCCTCCTCAAATGGGTGGTTAGGAGAGCAGGGGATTAAAAAGGTATTTTGAAAAGTACAAAGTGTTCTGTAATTTTATTATCATTTCTTATATATTTGTGGGTTTCCTAGTACTGATTTTGAAAGCGATGTAAAGTAACTTTCTCAAACACTGTTTTTCTTCTCAGATTAGGGTTTAGAAAGTATGTCTTCTATCCACCTCACTTTTTCTCACTTGTACCATGTGCTGTGTCCCCAGGTGAAGCAGGCAGAGCGCAGTGAGGCGCCGGTCGCTGCCGCCATGCCGTTCCCATTTGGAAAATCTCACAAATCTCCTGCAGATATAGTGAAGAACCTGAAGGAGAGCATGGCCGTGCTGGAAAAGCAAGACATTTCTGACAAAAAAGCAGAAAAGGTATGTATTTGGCTTTATTTTATATTTTTAATCTTTTGATTAGGAGCAAATGTAAGACAAGTTATGAGGTGATTCTAAAAATCAGTAAATCCCAATTTGGGTTTATTTGGGGTTTTTAAAATTTAGTCCTAAAGTGGCATTTGCTGGTGCTTAAACACCACGTGTTTTCTCCTGTACTGCCATCTAACAAATACATTTTTGACTTTTTCTCAGTTTTTCATTTGAGGTTTTCAAGTTTATTTAAATTTCGGGGTTTTCTTTTTTCATTGTTGATGTAGTTTATGTCATTTCTGAAATCAGTGTTTCCACTGGTAGTCCTCTTAGGGAGAGAACCGCTCCTGATTTGCTTTCTGTGTTTCTCTGGATCCATGACAAGTATCTTCTTCTACCCAGTCACCACAGTCCAAAACCTGACTTTCATACCAGTCTGTACCCCCCCCCAAAATCATCTTTCAATAAATAGTATGAACCCCGACTTCCTAAGGGGTTTATGTGGGGGGGTTATGTAGTAGGACTTCCATTCCTACTTCACGAAAATCCTCATGACCTTTCTTATGGACCTTAGCAGTAGCCTCTTTAGGGTTCTTTCTGAAATATCTCCCCTGCTTTAAACCTTCAGTTCAGCCTTCTCACTAGCACACGAGACCCTTTGTGACCTGGCCTGTACTTCTCTAGGTGAATTTCAACCCCTTTCTGCCTTTTTCTGTATAACAATCTCAGCTTGTCTCTGTTCATTGAAAGCAATTAATAGCAAACAATTAGCCATACTGTCTTTGTCTTGTTTTCACCCCTGCACCATTTTCCCCTCAGCCCCCATCCATTTTTCAGAACCACGCAATTCATTTCTTTTTCCCGTATGGCTTCCCAGAATATTCCCTCTCCCGGCCTTACCCTTACACTCTAAAATGAATCTACCATTTGGCCACCTCCTTTGGAAATGGCAGGAGTGCTGCCATCTTCAACATGATTTTATTTGTGTCATATTTTTGTCTTCCTTACTAGACCTTGAGCTCTTTGACCCATGTGTCATTTCTGGCCCACCTGTGCCCTCCACAGTACCTGTCTCCCATGGGCTGGATGCCTGATGATTCATTGGATGAGTGTTTTGATTGGAACAGGATTTTCCATCCTATCTTTTATTTTAGCAGCTTGTTTTTTGTTTTGAGTTGACACTTAAACTGCTTAATTTCTACCATCTTTTTAAGTCTAAGACTGTGGTTTACCTGTATTCTTATAGAGAAAGGAATTTCGCACTCGTGGGATTAAGATTTGTAATTATAGGCTATTTAGTTGTATCTTTCTGTCATTGGAAGTAATCTACAGTTAGTGAAATTTTCTATAATTCAACTTTACTTCAGATCTTCCATGGAAATTCTAGACAGTTTCTTGCGTACCTTAGTAAGAGATGTAGATAAATGTTAATAATATGATGAAACTAACTTCTTTTTTTAAAGATGGCTGTTATGTTATTTTGGTTGAAGTATATGAAGAAAATCTGGCCTCATACAGATGTGTAATTGGAAAAGAGAGTATTTTAATAGCCTTTCAGATAATTTTGAATATTTTTGATACCACAGCAAAATTCAACAGTTGATAGTTTCTTGGTTGTAATAGACTCAAACTGTATAAATGAACTTTTTGTACTCAGTACTTTGAAAAGGTCCTTTATCCATGCATGACTTTGTAACATGCACTGGTCATTTAGAAAATATTGGATCACTGAGTTACATACATCTTCCAAATGTTGACACATTATTCAATATCAAAAATTCACATTTTAAAATACCACCACTGTGATCTCATCAGAAAAGTATAAGTTTTGGAAAGTGGTCAAACTTACTTATGTTGTATTCAAATTTCAAAATTCAAATCTGGCAACAAATACTGTCCGTTGGTTGTTTTCCTTAAGGAGACAGGTTCACTTTGTTTATTTTTGAGAAAATGTCTGCCAAATATACAAGCCGGAATAATTTGTCAGTTTTTCTTTCAAGGAAAAGTGATGTTCCATAAAGAAAATAGTTTGTTCAGCTCATAGCTCAAACATTATCATACAAGTACTTTTCTTCAAGACAAGCAGTCATACTTCAGTAAGAGGCAGAAGGTGCTTTATGTGTACTTCCTATTTATCACACCAAGTGTTAAAAAGTTGTATGTATACTCAGGTCAAAGTTTAATAAAATGAATTTTTTTTCCTGCTTTCTCATGACACTCTTAAGTGAAACAGTTTTTTTGTTTTTTTTTCGTTACGCGGGCCTCTCACTGTTGTGGCCTCTCCCGCTGCGGAGCACAGGCACCAGACACGCAGGCTCAGCAGCCGTGGCTCACGGGCCCAGACCGCTCCGCGGCATGCGGGATCCTCCCAGACCGGGGCACGAACCCGTGTCCCCTGCATCGGCAGGTGGACTCCCAACCACTGCGCCACCACGGAAGCCCGTGAAACAGTTTTTTGAAGCCGAGTGCATGATGATGAAAACTACAACGATAACTACTACAGTTTGTTGTCACTGCCTTGACTCAGGCTAGAGGTCAACACCATCAGTGCAAATGGCAACAGTGGAAAAAGGCAAATTATGTGTTTACATTGATATGAAAGCAGTTTTGACCTCATGGACCCCTTGAAAGGGTCTCAGGGAACCTTTTTTGGTAACACAGAGGTTGAGAATTCCTGCTCTAAACCTAAGCAAGAATAGACATCCTGCTAAATTTAAAGCAAAGAATATTAGTTGAATTTATGAAAAATAAATTTTATTTCAAAGGAAGGGGACAACTCTGAAGATTGAGGAGCAATCAGTGCAAATTACTTATCCTGAAATAGATTAGAAATAGGGAGGAAAACCCTGAACTTTCTGATTCCACTGGCTTATCAAGATTCAGAAGGAAGTAGCACTAATGCAAATGGTGAAGAGGGAATGAGACCTGAAAACAATGGAAAGATGAAAATATAACCTCTAAATTAAAAACCATGAGAAGCAACTTCGACATCATACTTAAGACTGAAAACTTGAATGTAGTCCCATTAAAACCAGGGTGCTTGCTATGACTTTTTATCTAGAGTTGTTCTGGAAATTCTAGGCAATGCATAAAGAAACAGTTTAGAAATAAAAAACACAGCTATTTAAAATAAAGAGGGGAAATTACAATGTTGAGATATTCATATATCTTTACAAAACACAAGAGAATCAGTGTGAAAATGAGAGTTCACTAGGGCAGCTAAATACAAAATGCATAGCTTCCCTAAATACCATCAAGACGATCTAGAAATTGTAATTTTTTTAAAAAAAGTATTTTATTTACAGTAGCAACAACAAAAAAGTAAGGTGTCTGGGAATACTTTCATCAGGAAGTATGCAGAACCTATATGAAGAGAACTATAAAATCTTATTCAGAGGTACAAAAGAATACTTGGTCCATGTTATTGGATGGAATATAGTTAAGATGCCATTTCTTATCAAATTAATTTTTAAGCTTAAAGCAGTTCCATTCAAATCACAGCAGGATCTTTTTGTACCTTGACAAAAAATGATTCTGAAGTTGTGGAAGAGTTAATAAAGTAGCTACAAAGTTGTGCTGGAATTTAAGGAATATGAATTCTACTTTGTTTTGAAGCAAAACACACATTTCACACATCCACTCACAGTCTTTCCAATCATGGTTAATGATACGCCATCCTTCTAGTTGTTCAGGCCAAAAGTCTTGAGTCATTCATGACTCCTTTCACACTTCCCAGATCCAATTCATGAGCAAATACATCCACTTTATTGCAGGGGGGAAGGGGGTTGTTAAAAAGCCAGACTCTAATGACCACTTCACCCCGTTTTCTTAGTCACCACCTGGGTCTGAGCTACCATTATCTTTGCTCCGGATTACTGCTGTATTCTTCTCCCTTGCCTTTCCACAACCATAGTGATTCTTTCAAAACATGAGTCAAATAATATTTCCCTTAGAGTAAAAGTCAAAATCCTTACAAGGGCTGAACTAAGTTCTACAGGTCAAATCCTGCCGAGGCCTGTTTTTGTAAGGCTCATGAGCTAAGAATGGTTTTTACATTTCTAAAAGGTTGGTTTAAAAAGCAAAGAAGATTATGCAACAGAGACTTTATGTGGCCTATAAAGCTTAAAATATTTCCTGTCTGATGCTTTTACCAAAAAATAAATGCCCACCCTTGCCCTGGTCAGTCAGGCCCGTGACCTCAGTGGTCCCTTCTCCTAGTATTCCCCCCCCATTGGCTTGCTTTTCCTTGTGTACTTCAGTCACACTCCTGCCTTATGGGTTTTGCATTGGGCTGTCCCCTTTACCTAGAATGTTCTTTCCCCAACTCTCTGCTTGGCTAAGTCCCTTATTGCCTTCAAGTCTTTGCTCAAATGTCACTTTTCACCCAACCCCCTATTTAAAATGCAGCCTAGTCCCCGGCATTCCTGTTACCCCCGGTCTTGCTCTGGTTTTCTGTGTATCACTTAACACCTTTAATATACTTAATGATTTTTGTTTGTTTGTTTTTACTAGTTCTTCCCTCTTTTAGAACATAAGCCTTCCAAAGACAGCTCAATAATTATTTTTTATTTATTGAAAATGGAATACAGAGTTAACATACTTCTGTCAAGGTAACTCTTCTAAACTCTTAATTTCTACTGAATAGGATAAAACATGTATTACTGAGAATGTTGCAATAATTTGTATGTTGAGTTTATGACCAATAGGAGGGTATCCCAGCCAGATATCTTCTGAACTTTATGATGGTGACCAAATATCTCATTCCCTTGTAGTGCTACCACCCACAGAAATAGTGAGATAAATGACCCTTCTCAAGAGATCTACCCTGTTGGTCCTAGTATCTTCCATATAGTTTTGTGTTTATTAATTATCTTCCCCTGTAATTCAGGATGCTTAGTGGACACTTTTCCTGATTGGATGAATAATTATACCCAGTGGATCTGATTAGTGGATTACTCTGAGCACCTAGGCAGGGTTTTGGTGATCTGTTGTAGGATACTGTCCCCAAC